GATAATTTCAAATCCAACCAAAAATCTTCAAAACTATTAACTTTTATCCAAAACAATTTTCAACTAAAATCATTACTCGCAGACAGTAATGAAAACAGTTTCCAATTACAAACACGTTCCACTCTGTATACACTACAATTGCTATAATCATACCTATATAACCCAAAGTATCATTTGAAGCGATAGTCCTCCTGAGACACCCCGTATATATGTACATATACATACACAGTGCATCTGGCGGATCGTGCAAACACGAGACAGCCCTCTTCTCCCCATACCGAACGACGTGGCCAGACTGCGGAAATCGGTGATTTCCACAATGCGTTCCTTTACAGTTGCGCCTGTAGCGTTTCCAGCATGCACACAACAGGCTTTCCTTTTGGAGACCGTATTCGATGTACTTGCCAAAATAAATACCGATGCACCCGTGAACCTGGGGCACGCCTCTGTCTTATCCGCCACACTCCGCCACAGTCGTCGACTAGCCCCCGACTACCGGTGCAAGAGGCGCCTCCTTGGCCACTCAACCTGTTTACTTTGGTCGAACACGTTTCGCCTCCTGCCAATCACGAACAATTAAAGTGGGCGAAAGATGACTGCGGCTCTCGCATCGCCGCGTACGTGATTTTTATCGATAAGATTCGAGGCCCTATGAATTTTATTTATTTACTTCGACACGATTATCCAAACTTTTCAGCGAGTTTTTTTTTTTTCAAGTGTAAAAGAAGAATATTGTGCTGTTATTTGTTGATTCTGAAATGTTCCATATTTTTCTACAAGTTTTAATTTTGATCCAATTTGATAAACCAATACGTATGAACAATATCAGTTATAGAGTTGATGAGATGGGAAATATTGTTGTTCAAGGAGTCGATTCGAGGAAAAGAGTCTTTACCTATAATGTATGGTTACCGTTAGCTAAGGAAAAGGGGAGAGAAACGTCTAACGAAAAGGACCCTCGAGTGATGTTCGAAGGCGAAGAGAAACGTCTAATGCCGTGGTGGCATTTGCATACTTGGGTATTCATGCAAGGAAAGCTTTCGTCGGCGCATTACACGATCCGGGATTGTTGTGCGAATACGCAACAGTTCTCGCAAAGTAAGTGAGAGAACGTTGAAGAGGTTGTAGATACGTTGTTGTTACGTTGAGTACACTTGAAACTATGAGTATAATACACATTGGACGTTACTCATTCGATAAAATTGCTACAATTATTTCACAAAGTTGACAACACACGTATGATAATTTATTAATTGTAATTTAATCTCTTTT